ACTACGACTACTACTACTACTACTACTACTACTACTACTACTACTACTACTACGACAACTGCCACTACGATCATTACGACTACTACTACTACAACCACCACCACCACTACTACTACTACTACTACTACTACTGCTACAATTTCTATTACAAGTACTACTACCACACGTAGTACTACTACTACTACTACTACTACTACTATTACTACTACTACTACTACTACTACTACTGCTGCTGCTACTACTACTACTACTACTACGACTATTACTACTACTACTACTACTACTACTACTACTGCGACTACTACGACTACTCCTCCTACTACTACTACTACTACTACTACTACTGCTACTACTACTACTACTACTACTACTGAGGCTGCTACTACTACTACTACTACTACTACTACTACTACTACTACGGGTACTACGGGTACTACTACTATTACGACCACGGCCACGACTACGACAACAACTACGAGTACGACTACGACGACGACGGCGACGACGATGGCGACGGCAACGGCGACGACTACTACTACTACTTCTACGGCTCCTCCTGCTACTACTCTAACTACTACTACTACTACTACTACTACTACTACTACTACTACTACTACTACTACTACTACTCGGACTACTACCACTACTGCTACTACTACTACTTCTGCTACTGCTACTAGTACTACTACTACTACTAGTACTACTACTACTACTACTACTACTACTACTACTACTACTACTACTACTACTACTACTACTACTGCTACTACTACTTCTTCTTCTACTACTACTACTACTACTGCTACTACCCGTCCTCCTCCGCATCCTCCTCCCTCCTGCTCCTCCTTCTCCTCCTGCTCCTCCTCCTCGTCCGTCCTCCTCCTCCTCATCCTCGTCCTCCGCCTGCTCATCCTCCTCCTCCGCAACCTGAACCTCCTCCTCCTCCTGAATCTCACGCCTCCCCATCTCATCCTCCACCTCTTCCTCTTTATCCTCCTCCCCCTCCTCCTTCTCCGCCTCCTCCTCAACCGCCTAAGCCTCCTCCTCCTGCTCCCTCCTCCTCCTCCTTCCACGCCGTCTCCTCCTTCTCCCTCCTCCCTCCTCCCTCCTCCTCCTCCTCCTCCTCCTCCTATCCTCCCTCCGCCTCTGCTTCCCCTCCTCTCCTCCTTCTCTCCTCATCCTCCTCTCACGCCTCCTCCGTCATTCCTCCACCTCTTCTTCTTATCCCCCCTCCTCTTCTTCCTCTCCTCCTCCTTCTTCCGCCTTCTTCTCCTCCTTCTCCTCCTCCTCCTCCTCCGTCTCCTCCTCCCCCTCCTCCTTCCTCCTCCTCCTCCTTCCACGCCCTGTCCGTTTCCTCCCTCCTCCTCCTAATCCTCGCATCCTCCTCCTCCCTTCGTCATCATCCTCCTCCCCTCTCCTCTCATGATCCTCCTCCTCCTCCTCTCTCCTCCTCCTCCTCCTCTCATCCTCCCCATCTTTCTCCTCCTCCTTCTCCTCCTCATCCTCCGTCTCATCCTCCTTCTCCATCCTCCTCCTTCTCCTCCGTATATTCGTCTTTCCCTTCCTCCTCCTCCTCCTCCTCCTCCTCCTCCTCCTCCTCCTCCTCCTAATCCTCCTCCTTCTCACGCCTCCTCCCCATACTCCACCTCGTCTGTCTCCTCCTCGTCTCCTTCCTCCTCCTCCTCCTTCTCCTCCTCATATTGCTCCTCCTCCTCCTTCCACGCCTCCCTCCTCCTCCTCCTCCTCCTCCTCCTCCTCCTCCTCCTCCTCCTCCTCCTCATACTGATTCCTCCGCCTCCTCATCCTCCTCCTTTTCACGCCTCCGCCCTCACCATCAACCTCTTCCTTCTTATCCTCCTCCTCCTCATCCCCATCCTCTCACTCGTACTCATCCTCCTCGTTCTCTCTCTTCATCCTCCTCCTCCTCCTCATTCCACGCCTTCTCCCTCTCTTCCTCCTCCTTCCTCCTCCTCATCCTCCTCGTTCTCCTCCTCGTCTCCTCCTCCTCCTCTCCTCCTCCTCCTCCTCCCTCCTCCTCCTCCTCTCCTCATCTCATCCTACTCCTCTCCTCCTCGTCCTCCTCCTCCTCCTGTTCTCCTCCTCTCCTCCTCCTGCTCCTCCCTCGTTTCCTCCTCCTTCTCCCTTCTCCTCCTCTCTCCCTTTCCTTCCTCCTTCTCCTCCTCCGCCTCCTCCTCCTCCGCCTCCTCTTCCTTCCCTTCCTCTCCTCCTCCTCCTTCCTCCTCCTCCTCCTCCTCCTCTCTCATCCTCATCATCATCATCACATCATCATCATCATCCATCATCATCATCATCATCATCATCATCAGATCCTTATTCTCACGCCTCCTCCCTCATCCTCGACCTCTTCCTATTCCTCTCCTCCATCTCCTACTCCTCCTCCTCCTCCTCCTCCTCCTCCTCCTCCCCTCCTCTCTCCTCCTCCTCCTCATTCCTCCTACTCCGTCCTCCTCCTCCTCCTCCTTCTCCCTCCTCCTCCTCCTTCCACGCCTTCTCCTCCTCCTCCCTCCTCCTCCTCCTTCTCCTCCGCGGCCGCCGTCCTCGCCCATGAAGCGGCCCTCGAGCCAGGACCGGGCGTACTCGGCCTGCTGGGGTGGCTCCAGCTGCTTCGGGTCCTCGCGCGCCTGCCGATGGCTGCCCTCGGCCCTCGACAACGAAGTGTGGGAGGGCGAGGAGGAGGAGGAGGAGGAGGAGGAGGAGGAAAGGGAGGAGGGCGAGAAGGAGGAGGAGGAGGAGCAGGAGGAGGAGGACGAGGAGGAGGAGGAGGAGGAGGGAGGAGAAGGAAACGGCGTGGAAGGAGGAGGAGGAGGAGGAGGAGGGAGAAGGAGGAGGAGGAGGAGGAAAGGAGGACGAGGCATGGAGGAATGGAGGAGGAGGAGGAGGAGGAGGAGGAGGAGGAGGAGGATCATGCGGATAATTGCATGGAGGCTTGCGAGAGCTTCGCCGCTTGCCCTCGTCGTCTTCTTGATGATGGAGGAAGGGTGATAAAGATGGTGGTGGAGTCCTCGCTCTTGTTTGGTGCCCATGCACCCCATGCTGCCTCTCGCGTAGCCGCGGGAGTGGGAGCGCGCGCGGAGGGCGTTATCTCCGCGCACTGACGCTTCGAATGCTCGCTCCCGCGGCTTGTCCAAGAAAAGAAGCTTACCAAGGGAAGGGCGAGGAGGATTGCGAGGAGTATGAGACGGAGGAGGGAGTTCATGAGGATAATTGCGGGGAGGATCAAGACAGCTGAGGAGCATTACGAGGAGAGCCTCGAGGACCAAGGCATCTGGACCTTTTTGGGGCCTCCGCGAGGGCCTCTGGGGACCTCGATCTGTTAGTCACGATTCGGAGCAGAACCCAAACTTACGGCTCGCGCCTTCTCCAGGACCCTCGCGTCGATCTGATTCTTCACGTCGAAGTCGATCCTGGGAGGGCGCCCCCCCCCCCTTCCCCCCCCCCTCCTGTCGGGAGCGGCCAAGAGGGGGGTGTCCAAGAGGCGCCATGAGATCTGGGGAAATATCATGGCCCCCGCCATGATATCCCCCCCCCCTAGTCATCACCCCCTCTTTTCCGCTCCCGATCCTGGATGTCTGCTTCGGCTGCACGCTATAGGGTGACCCCAGGCAAGAGTGACCTCAGGTGCGCGGCTTTCGGGAGGGCGCGGGGAGCCCAAACCCGAGCGCGCAGGTCACTCCTGCGACAGGTCACTCCTCCGTGCAGCCGACGGCTGCCCTTTTGCTGGGCCTCCGGAAGCCCCTGGAGGCCTCGATGGACCAGCGGGCCCCTGCAGAAGCGGAGCCGCGCACGGAGCACTTTGGCCGGCCCAGGCACGTGCGGGGCCCAGGAGATCCCCGGCCTGGCGCCCCCTCCCCCGGCCTGGCCGCGAGGGCGCGCACGCCGGCCCGGGGGCCCAGAGGTGGCCTGGCCGGGACTGGCGCCGGTGCGCAGTCAGTCGTCGGCTGCACGCAGGGAGGGGCCCTGGGCAGGAGGGGCCTCTGGTGCGCGGCTGTTGTGGGGGCCACGGGGGGGCCAAGCACAAGCGCGCAAGACGCCAGGGGGGCCCCAGGGGCCCCGCAGCAAAGGTCACTCCGGCAAGAAGGGTCACTCTTACGTGAGGTCGGCGCTGTCAGTTGGCGCCCCCGGGGCTCCCCCAGGCGAAGAAGCAGAACGTGGAGAAGACGACGGGGAACACCAGGGCGCCGAGGGCGAAGAGCCCGAGCGCGTTCCCGGTGCTCCGGATGTCTTTCCTGTAGGGGCAGAAGACGCGGTAGATCCCGTCTGGGCACTGCCGCACCTTGGTCGGCTCGGGGACGTAGCTACGATCGATGTCGACGAAGAAAGAGCCTTGCTCGTGGAGCGAGGAGCTGGTGTCCCCCTGGAGCTGCTGCAGCAGCGAGATGAGCGCACGTGGGGACCGCTCCGCGGTCTGCGCCAGGGTGCTGGTGTCACTGCCCTCCACGGGCGTGAAGACGGTGTTGACCACCACGAACGCAGACCCGTTCGAGAGGGAGGCGACGATGATCCTGTTAGGGTCCGCCTTCAGCAGCGACGCCATCTCGTAACGGTACATGTACTTGAAGTACCGGAGCTCAGGGTCATCCGAGGTGCGCTGGAATATCGGCTGTCCTAGAGGGAGAGCGAGCGGCATACGACGAATTTATCGGAAGTCCGCGCGGGGGCCCAGCTCCGATCGAAAACGCCTGATATTGTCACGAACCCCGACCTTGGAGGACAAGTGGGCGTGAATTGCGAGACAGAGAAAAACGAAGAAGAGGATGCCGTTTGTCGTTGTGACGCTTGGGGGCCTCTTGGGGCCTCCTCGGGTCCTTCAGCCGTCCTGGGGCCCTCCTGAGGAAGTCCCAGGGCTGTCCGTTTGTCGCTCTGACGCTTTGTCGAGGCACTTCCAGCAGTCCTGGGATCTTGGGGCAGTCCTGGGGCTCTCTTGGGGGCTTGTCGGGTCTTTCTGGAGGCGTCTTGAGGTCTTGAGCCCTCTTGGGGTCTTCTTGTGCGTCACTTGGGGTCTCATCAGGTTCCCGTGTTGTCCGTCTCACGCTGTGAGGCCTTGTCGAGGCGCCTCCAGCCGTCCTGGGGCTCTCTTGGGGCAGGTCTCGGCCCATCTTGGGCGCTTCTGGGGGCTTGCTGGAAGCTTCTGGAAGGTTCTTGGGGGCCTCTTGGGGCCTCTGCAGGGGTGGTTGGGGCCTCTTGGGGGTTTATTGGGAACCTCTGGGGGCCTCAGGAGCGGTCATTGGGGCGGAGAACCAGAAAAATCGGCCCCTGCCTCCGCTCCAGGGGCTCTCTTGGGGCGTGCCTGTGGCGCTTGTGAGGCTGTCTTGGAGGCCTCTTGGGTCGTCTTGAGGACGTCTTTGGCCGTCTGAGCGCTCTCTTGGGGGTCTCTGAGGCTGTCTTGGGGCGTTCTTTGGGACCTCTTGGGCCGTCTTGGAGCGGCGGGAAGCCGAACAGGCGAAAACCAAACAAACTTTGAAACACCAAAGGAACACTAATCTTTTTTTGTGTTTCGGGCTCTCCTGGGAAGCGTCTTGGGGGCCTCTCGGGGCGTCTTTTGAACTCCCTGGGACATCGGGACGCCGTATTGGGCGTCTCTGCTGGGGGCTTCTAGAGTGGTCATTGGGGCGGAGAACCCGAAAAACGACCCCTGCCTCCGCTCCAGGGCCTCTCTTGGGGCGTGCCTGGAAAACTTGTGAGGCCGTCTTGAATCTTGGGGGTCTCTGAGGCTGTCTTGGGGCGTTCTTTGGGACCTCTTGGGCCGTCTTGGAGCGGCGGGAAGCCGAACATGCGAAAACCCCAAAAGCTTCAAACACCAATGGAAAACTAACGATTTGGTAAGTTTCGGACTCTCCTGGAAAGCCTGGGGGCCTCTCGGAGCGTCTTGTGGGCCCCCTGGACGTCGAGACGCCATATTGGGCGTCTCTGGGGGCTTCTGGAGGGGTCATTGGGGCGGAGAAGCTGAAAAATCGGCCCCTGCCTCCGCTCCAGGGGCTCTCTTAGGGCGCGCCTGGAACACTTGTGAGGCCGTCTTGGAGGCCTCTTGGGTCGTCTTGAGGATGTCTTGAGCAGTCTGAGCGTTCTCTTGGGGGTCTCTGAGGCTGTCTTGGGGCGTTCTTTGGGACCTGCGGCTGAAGCCGAAAATGCGAAAACCAAAAAAAACTTCAATTCAAAAACCTAGGGAAAACTAATGATTGGTAATGTTTCGGGCTCTCCTGGAAAGCCTCTTGGGGGCCTCTCGGGGCGTCTTTTGGGCTTTTTGGGACGTCGGGACGCCATATTGGGCGTCTTTGGCCGACCTTTCGGCCACTCGAGGCCTTCTTGGACCATCTTGGGGCCGTCCGTGCATCCCGGAAGTGCGTCTGCAGAAATGGGGCCGACTCCGGCCGCCGAGCGGCCGTCTTCCGCCGGCTTCCGCGGGCGTTCCGCCCGTGGCCGGGGCCATCTCCCGGGGGGTCCCCCCCCCAGACCCCCCCCAGGGGAGCACTAAACGGGAACCCCTCCGCCAGGTCGGGGAAAAATGCGCGGACATCCGAGAAATTAGTGTTATGAAATTGTTTGGTCTTCGGTGTCCGCCCACGTTGTATACCATCTTTACCGACAGCATCATCGCCTGGTCGTCATCCGCCTCCAGCGCGTAACGGTCACGCTGACACTCGCCGGCGATGGGGATCTTGGTCTTCGGGCAGTACGTGACGCACGTCCCGTCGACCATCACCAGTGGCGGTCTGCAGGATGGCCGAACGATGACAAAGCCGATGTCAGAAATGACGCCAACGTGGTCGACGCATATCCGAAACTTGCCAGTTGTTATCGAAGAGACTTCGTAGTAATATACCATCCCGTGGTCATCGCTCACTATCGCCTGCGTTGGCGCAGTGAAGGGGTGAAGCACGTAGAGCGACGCAGGGTCCACGTCGCAGGATATATCGTACGGAAGGAAGCGAAGCTTGTCCTCCTGCTGCAAGTTGAATCCCTCCACAATGAGCGGCTGTGGCGAATCCTCCATCACATTGCACCCGCAGCGGAGGAGTTCCGCGTTGCTGCATGGATCGAGCATCGGCGGCACGCACTCTTCCACATTAGGGCAGACAGACTGGGTGGTGCGCACCCCCCGCTCGAACTGGTACATGCAGAGCCGGTGCTCTGCATAGGGCCCGTTGCCGACCATCGGGGAGGTCCGCACCGGCTCCGCTGGGATGTTGCCAATAGCCTCTATGGTCAGCCTGACGTCGTCTTGATTGAGCTGGGAAGGAAGCACGAAACCTTGGTTCTCCTTGATTTCGATCTCGAAGTCTGTGAAGGCTTCCATAACGACACCCGAGGCCAACTGCAAAGTAAGCTGCGACGAGGTGGAGTTCCACTGAGCCTGCGCATCTTGTATCATCGTACGGTTTGCGCCGCTGATATGGATGTTGATCTTCCCTGGTATTGGGTTGGTGAAGCATTTATCCGGATATTCGGAGCAGGTTTCCGCTCCACTCAGAGCAGCTAGGGTTAGCCTGATTGGGTTCGCATCTGTCACATCCACTGTGGGGCGCAACTGGATCGTGAAGTGGAAGGGGCTCCCAGCCCTCGGTGGACCATAAGTGTATACAGAACTTTCAAACGTGCGGTCCACGACCAGTGGCGAGGACTTGATGGCCTCCTGGTAGATGATCTGATTGCTCTCGCACGAAATCTTCAGCCGCGCATCGTCTTGCACAAGGCCGTCCTTGGGGAGACGGAAGCCGCCCTGAGCCACCACCCTGATCACGGAGAGCTTGTTCGTATCGTGGGTGCTCGGAAGTGTGTAGGGAGTGGTGACGGGAGGGTCACCGACCTCGTAGGTAAGAGGAAGCTGGAGGCTGAGCGTGTGGTTCTGCTGCGTCCAGGTGGCAACAGGAACCAGAAAGCTCAAGTCTTCCTCGTTCGCCAAGGGAGTCGCTGGGGACGACAGGAAAACCTCGGTGGTCGCCAGGATGAAGCCCTCCAGAACGATATTGATGATAGACCCCCCAAAAATCTGCACATTGGGCGTGAACTTGATGTTGACCTCCTCTACGGTATTAGGATATGCGATGTACGTCTGGGAATTCCCATAATAAATCAAACTTGTGTCGAACCCTTTCGGGACTGTGTTCACCCGCGTCGAGAAGTTGAAAGCCGTGGACGGAATGCCGGCCTCAGGGATGTGGAGGCGGAACGACGGGTCATTGGCGTATGCTGCGTAGGGCAGCTTGAAACACTGGTCACGCTCCAAGAAGAACTTGATCTTCTCGCCTGCGTAGATCCACATGCTCGGGATGACCTTGACGGCCAGCTTACGCTCACCCGGGTAGTAGGTCCCCTGGCTGTCCACGAAGAGCGGGGCGTTGTTGCCAGACAGCGCGATCGGGATGGGCTCCAGCACGCCCTCCGTGTGGTCTCGCACGAGGCCGCCGAGCTGAATGTAGAATGTGGTGTTCGGCAGAACATCGCAGTTGAGAATGACGTAGATGTCAACCTTGGTGAGCGGATTGATATCGTTCCCGGCGCAACTCAGGCTCGAGTCATCGTCGGTGAACGCGTCAAACTCGATCCTCGAATCAAGGATGAACTTTGGCGATCCGATCGCCGGCGACTTCTTTATCTGCTCCACGTCGATGACTGAACCACGACCCTCTACTCGCAACACGCCGTCGTTTTTGGTCAGCTTGGCAGGCAAAGTGCACGGGTACACCAAACTTCCGTCTGTGGCCGTATATGCTCCGACCGTGACATCGAAAATCTGATCGTTGGATATGATCTTGTTCTGGGCCACCGTAAGGGTCAGCGTGAACTCGTCGGCATTCCAGACGCCAGCGCTGTCCTGCACCTTGTCGGCATCCGCTCCCGACAGTGCGATCGCCGTACCTTCGCACGTGAAACCGTAGAGGTAGAGAATCACCTGATCGCCCTGGAAGAATATGATAGAAGGCATGAGGGAGAACGTGATGTTGGAGGGCGAGCTCGGGCTCTCTGGGCTAAACGACACCTGCGACTGGACAAATGTCTTGTAGCCGTCGCCAATCTCCGGGCTCGACTGCACAGGCTGCCGCACGGCCCCGTAGTCCGAGTTCCAGATCAGCAGCGACTCGTCGTCCGCATAGAGTGCAGGGGGCACGATGAGGTTCAAGAAAGTGAGCGTCATGACGGCCTCGTTGGAATAGAGTGTGCGGATGACTTCTAGCTCCAAGATGTTCTCGGTCAGGTGGAAGGTCGCGATGCCATCCTTAAAGTTGGCGACGTGGTCCCCGGACATCTGCACCTCCGACGGATGCGCGCCCCCTCTAGACGCCATTCCAGCTATCCGAACTCATCTCATGACAACTTGTGGGATTTGCTGGCCTCACAAATTCCTCTCATGCTGCTGTTCATCCTGTCATGAGGGCAGGAGGAACAGGACGAGAACTCCTCCCGCCAGGCCGGATGGCGAACGATGCTGAATGAGTTTGTCACTGATGAGACGCCTCCAGAACGAATGTTGGAGGCCTGGAAATGGGCACCAACACCAACACTGGGGGTTGCCTCCACAGGGGGAAGATGATCCTGGATTTCGGTGCTGGTGGTTGTACTTCGGCCACCTGGGAAGGGAAGCCAGAACATCATCGCCAACACCGAGATCGGGATCGTCTTCCCCCGGTGGAGGCACACCGCCGATCTCGGCTTTGGTGTCAACCTCTAGGCCTGCGAGAAGGTCCCTCGAAGGGCTTCACGAAACATTGGCAGGCCGCCCTCTTGAGCGCTCTTCGTACCTCGGGGGCGACTCCCCGTCCTCCGCCGAGCGAACGGGCCCGCCCAGAAGGCGCCTTCCCCGCCACTTGCTCGGCGGCTGGTCCGGGAGGTCTCCGGGCCCTTTCCCCCCGATCGCCCGCCCCCCGTGCCCGGGCAACGCTGGCCGTCATCCGACAGGCGGACGCACATGCGGTGAAACCTCTTCCGGCCATCCGCGAAGCGGCCAGCCTCGGAAGCCCACGAGGTGCCGTCGGTCATCCTCCCCCCCCCCCAAAGGGATCACACGGCTGGCACCCTCTTGCCCAAGGCCTCACCCTCGTCCTCCAGAACGTCCTCCTCATGCTCCTGCTTCTCCTCCCTTTTCGTCGTTGTGGTCCTCCTGCTCCCTGTCCTCCTACTCCTCCTCCTGTCTCCTGCCTCCTCCTCCCCTCCCTCTTCCTCTTCCTCCTCCTCCTCCTCCTCCTCCTCCTCCTCCTTCTTCTCCTCGGCCCGCCTGCACTCGGGCGAATGCTGCAGGTGCATTCTATGCAGAGTGGCGCACGGTGCCCGCGAGCCAGGCTGCGGCAGGGGACCGCGCGCCCCTCGTCGTTCCTCGCCAGCTTCCTCTTCGGCCCTGGCCTCCGCCGCGGCGGCGGAACGGTGCAGCAGGCGACGGCGTGCGCGGCAGTGCTCCCCGTCCTGCCCCCGGAGGTGGCAGTCCAGGAGAGCTGCTCGCTCGGGCCACCGCTTCAGGCCTGGGCTGCAGCGGTGACTCGGGCACTCTCCTCTTGCGCGCTGGGCGTGCCCCGCGTGCGGCTGCGGGCGGAGCGGGTGGTCTCCGCCTCAGTCCGGGGCTGCACCGGTGGTCACTCTCCTCTTGCGCGCTGGGCCTGCCTGCCGGTGCAGGGGCGGAAGAAGCGGGCGGCCCAGTCAGAGGTGTGCCCACAGCGCATCGGGCTGGACGCCCCTCACTCCCAGTCGTGCCTCTGCGCCTGGAGGTGTACTTTTCGGGGGGGGAGAAGGAGGTAGAGGGGATTGGGGGCGACCGTAACACCTCACGACTCACGAGCATGCCGTGCATTCTGTGGCGATGCGCGGTAGAGACTGACCAGTGGCTCGATTTACAGCAACACCAACTGACCAGTGGCAGTATCTTGCGGCAGGAGGTGTACGGCGGGCCCCGAGTTAGGTCGTGGAGCTCTGGTCAGGCCGTTCCACCTTCCTGGCCCTTTTATTGGCGTCAGCAACGAGGGCGTGAAAGGGCTGCATGGACAGTGGGGTAATCTCGGGGACGCATCGGTAGCATCGGTGGCGTGTCCTGCATACGCAGCCGCTTTCGCCCATGCGGGGCCGCATCGGAGCCCCCGATATTGACGCCGATGCGTCCCCGCATGGGCGAAAGGGCTGCGTGGACACAATACGCGTCTTGCCCTCCAGTGAAGCATGAATTTGGAGGAAACGTCCAGGTTGGCGGAACTGCTTGACGAGAGCGAGGACAGGGAGTCGCCTGCCCTGCAACGAGTCCTGGTGGCGCCGCCCGAGCCTCCCTGACAGGCGACTCTGCAGCATCAAACTTCCACGGCGAACTCCAATATGCGGACCGTGGAGAGAAAGCTGGTGGGGTCGGCGCAGCGCTGCGAGGACTGGAGCATCCAGAGGGTGCCGAAGGCTCTCTCGTCACTGAGCTCGCTCGGAGCAGCGGGCAGGCGGATGCGCCGCACAGAAAGCTGGTTCTGCAGCTTCACGATTCTCGTAACGCCGTGGAAGATTCCAGAGCCTGTTGCAATTCCTATCAGTCTCAAGCACCTTCTGGACGGCTCGTGCACGACGAGCTCCAGATCGATGTGCGGACGCCTTTTGGCTCCACCGGCAACAACGGGCTCTCGGACCCCAGCAGGGCTGATCTCGAGAAGCGAGCGCAACTGCAACCCGAAGTTGGTCAACCTTCGAAGACGAGCGGAACCGCAAGATGAATCAACAGAACAATCAGCAGGTGGAGGGGGAGGGTCCCAGAAGAGAAGCACTTGGATATCCCCGTGCCCTTCCTCCTCTTCGTCATCCTCCTCCTGCTCCTGCTCTTCCTGCTCCATCCTTAGTCCTTGTCGATAACTAGACAACTCCTCCTTGTCCCTCCATCCCTCGTTCTCCTTGTCAGTAGGGCGGGCCAGGCGTTTCGCCAGACTTCACCACTGACCCTGACGCTTGAAACCTACAACACCACTTGCACGGCTGGAGGGCGGCCAGTTTTCAAAATGTGACCATCGCCTCAACGACGCGCGCATTCATCTTACACATTCAGCAACTGCAAGGTTGGAGGGTTGCTCATGTTCAAAACGTCGCTCGCGCTGCATATGTTTGATTTCTTGACCTCAGAAGTGCAACATGGTGTGTCAGTTCACACGGGTTGGGGGCGATTGATGCTCAACGTGTTTTCTCCGAAACATGAAAGGCGGTTCATTTTCAAATTGGGCTTCTCGCTTGAAAGGCAGGCCAGTCCATGCGGCTCCCGTCTTGAAAGAGGGAGCCTCCGCGGCGAAGAGAAACGCCTGCAGGGCCTTTTGATGATGGGACCTGGGAAAGGAGTCCGCTGCAGCATCGCTGATGCACCTTGGACTTCCTCTGGTCATCCTCCCCCTCCTCCTCCGCCTCCTCCTCCTCCTCCTCCCCCCTCCCCCTCCTCCTCCTCCTCCTCCTCCTCCTCCTCCTCCTCCTCTTCCTCTTCCTCCTCCTCCTCCTCCTCCTCCTCCCACGCCTCCTCCTCCTCCTCCTCCTCCTCCCACGCCTCCTCCTCCTCCTCCTCCTCCTCCTCCTCCTCGAATGCGCTCCCCCATGAACGGTTCTCTCGGGGGCAAACGCCTGGCCTCGGCCACGACCCCCCCACCCCCCCTTCGGTCGACTCTGGCCGCCCTGCACCTCGATGACCTCGGCCTGGAAGCCGGTGAGGCGCAGGTACATCTTGGTGCCCACGAACATCGGCCTGCTCCCAGGGGCCCAGGAGGAAGGGAGGAAGGGAAGGATGAGGACGGGGAGGGGGAAGGATGGGGAGGAGGAGGTAGCACGAGGGAAGAGGGATGAAGAGGAGGAGGACGAGGAAGAGGAGGAGGAGGAGGAGGAGGAGGAGGAGGAGGAGGAGGAGGGTTCGAGGTATTTGGGGGGGCACAGGAAGAGGGCTGGGAAACCGACAGCCCTACAGGCTAGGGGTCTAGGAACACCCTGGGATCCCTCGGCAGGCAAGACGGCCGGGCGCGACCACGACTGGGAGATCCCGTTCGAACGAAACCGAACTGACAATGAGATCACAGCCGAGCTGAATACAATGGAACCGGCGGCCACACGATATAGCGTTACGGTTGCCTCTTGTTTGCGACGCTACGCAAACTGGTGCACTGTAAACATCATGCCGTGCACCAGAAAGCAACGCAATGCGAAGCAACGTGTTACAGCGTAAGGTGGGGATACTATAGAAGCTAAGCGAAACAAATCAATCAACGTAACGTAAGGCAGTGTGAAGAAACACCTGGCAACGTAAAGCGCCGCAGTGTTGTGCACATCTGGGAGAGCACATCAACGCAGAGCAATGCCGCAAGAAAAGTCAGGACACTCCTATCATATTTGTGCGGTGCAAAGCAATGCAGGACACGACAAAGCAAAGCCACTCGAAGCAACGCGAAGAACGCAATGCAACGCAACTCGTAACACGCCACATCAAGGGACACTCAATTCAGCGATGCGAAGTTCAAAACACAGCAGCACATCGCAAAACAAACGAATGCAAAACAGACACATCAATGCAACGTGCAACATAATACTGGTATGCTGTGAAAAGGGGGAACGAACATGATACGCAACACTGTACTGTAATTGAAAACGAACCAGGTGAAAACGCCGCACACATTTGCCGTGTGCGTCAAATCGGGACAACACAAACACGAAACAACACACATCGGTGCAAATATGGCGCACGTTGAATACAATTCAACACGACGTGTGACAGCGCAAACACCACGCAGGGCAACCCAATCCAAGGTAGTGCACAGCAGTGCAGTTCAAAGCACGACAGATGAAATCAATTTAGAGCGGTAAAAAAAATTGAATTGGATGCCAGAACAACGCGTAGCACATGGGGCAATGTAGCGGCCCTGGAACGCAACCAGTGGGAAAAATTCAATGCCGCGCACACCGATGAGGAACACATCGGTTCATAGCACATACATGTCAATCAGCCCAACACAAAAAAACTGCCAAGCAGTGCGAAACGAGGGCTGAAAGCAAAACGGTGAACAAGGCATACACATTCAAACCAAAACAATAAATCAGCACGCGGCGCAAACTAACACAAACCAGCGTGAACCGATGAATTATATGGGCGAACGACCTAACCGTACTCAGTTGTGAACAGCGCGATTGTGAATATCGTCCTCGGTGGGGCGATCTATGGGGCCACGATGCGTGTAATGGGCGTGCCAGAACGGGCGCCAGCACGCCACGCGGGCGCTGCCGCTGAGGTCTTCGGTGGCGCTGCCTGTTGGGACATGACTCGCGTAAACGGTGCGCCGAAATTGAGGGGGGGGGGGGGGTGGAACATGCAAGCTCTACCGCTGGAGCCTTCGGTGGAGCTCCCTATGGGGCCGCGAAGCGTTTGAGGGGTGCGCCGAAATCGGGAGTGGAACAGCACGCGGGTGCTGCCGCTGGGGCATCCAATGAAACTACCGATGGGGCCATGTGTGAGGGGTGCACAGAAAATGGCGGGAGACTGTCGCTTGTTTTGCGCATGTGCAATACGTAAGCACTACGATGCTCTCGCCCTCCTCCTCCTCTTCCGTCTCGTCCTCCCCCGAAACCTCCTTTTCCTCCTCCTCCTCGTCCTCCTCCTCCCCCTCTTCCTCCTCCTCCTCCTCCTCCTCCTCCTCCTCCTCCTCCTCCTCCTCCTCCTCCTCTCCTCCCCACCCGTTTCCTCATTATCCTCGCCCTCATCCACATCCTCGTATCCCTCCTCCTTCTCCTCCGAATCCCCCCCCTCCTCCTCCTCATCATCAGTTTCCTCGTCCACTTCATCACCCCCTGTCTCTCATCCCTATTTTCGTCCTGCCCATATTGTGTCTGGTCTCCCTCGTCCCTCCGATTTCCTTCATCCTCTATCTTCTCCCCCTTCTTCGTCTCCGTGCCCTGCCCCACGGTCGTCTGCTTCCCGTTGCGGGCGAATGTCCGCAAGCGATCCTATCCCTGGCGGTGCGTGCGCCAAGCCCGCGAGTTGACGTAGAGAGCAATTTGCGGTCTTATCGTGCTTGACACTGGGACTGGGGGATGGACTGCTTCATCTCACTCAGTGCGGTGCTTCGGCTTCACCGCGCGTCTCGTGCCATCGCATTGATCGAGCGCACGCGGACCGAATTCACCGCGCACCACTCTTTCTTCGAGTGCGCCACCACCCCGTGCGAGAGCACCGACCGCCTATATATAATAATAAAAATAATAATAATAATAATCATAATAATAATAATAATAATAATAATAATGCGGAAGCTTCCTCGACCCGCGCGCGGGCGTCAACCGCTGCGCACGTGCTTCCCCGGAGCCTCCGCGCGGCCCAGGCAGTCCGTGCGGGAACACGCGGTGGAACACTTGACGCCGCCTGCTGCAAGCGCCTCGCACGGCGCGGCCCCGTCGGCAAAGACCGGTGCGGCCTGCCGCAAGAACTTCGAAATGAAGTCGTCCCATTTTTGCTGGCAGAGGGGGACGCCGCCGCCATCGGCCCCAGACGTCGCAAAGAGAAGTTGGAATACGACCATGGCGCCTCTTTCGCCGCGACGGAACACCTCACCATCTTGTATGAAAGGGAATCAACGAACACATGTCGGGCCGCCGCATGCTCGCAACATTGCAACTTTTTGTTGTCCTATTCGTGCTGTTGTGCTTGGCCGCCCTGGCTTACGGAACGCCCGAGCTCATAACCAATCAAAAATACGTTGATGTTCCTCTCGCCGCATGCCACAAAGCCCAGAAGGGAATGTGAGCCGTCGAAGAATGCCCGCACGAACGAAAACAAAGTCTTCGATTGAGGCGGTTCAGGACTCCCTCAAAAGGCCAGCAGACGTGGATGAAATCCAATGCCAACTGCAAGCTGCGGCGCACTCGAAATCAGAAGTTAACAGATCTAATGGCAGACACCCCGCGCAAAACATCAACGACAAATGCACGTGATTCTTGCTCGGGGACGGAATATATGTATATATATATATATATATATAACAAAAAAAACTCAAGTGGGGAGCGCCCGCCATGGCCGAACTTCTTTAAGAAAGTAAAATCGAAGGCGCTGTTTCATCCGTTGCGTTTCTCATGGCAAGCGCCCCGCACCAAAACCAACGAACCATGCGCGTACTTTCCCTCCTTTGTCGACAACAGCACAAGAAACAACCCTAAAAAATCCACCGTGGCTCAGGTTCCTTTCCCACTGTTTGTTCGATGTGCTTCCCGTGTTTCCATAAGTTCACATTGTTTTCCGTGTTTTGCGCGGCTGGCTGCCGAAAACTGCGTGGCCGCCTTACAAAAAGGATTACATGCGGTGCGCCCTTACATGAACAACCTTTTTGTCTTGTGGCGCCCTTACAAGAATATTCCTTGCGTGGCGGTCTGGAAGATTGTGGTAATCTGGGAAAGGACAAGGGGAACACTGAAACACTGTGAGAACAATTTAAGCAAATAGAAGTAACACTGGACAACGTAAACATACTGCAACAGCACATTTTGAAACCCAAAAAGAACACCGATGAACACACGATTAAACAATCCGAACACCACGACCAAAAAAAAGGCCACGGCATAAAGACATACAACGGGCACCTTTTGACAACGCAGCGACAAAACAATGCACACTAACAGACACAGAGGAAAACACAATACTAATCTATGTGTGTGCGGTGTGCTCGTTGGTTTCCTTGTTTTTTGTGTCTTGCGTGGCTGGCTGCCGAAAACTGACTGGCGGCCGTACACACGGATTTCTTGTGTGGCGGCCTTACGAGAAGAATATTTTTTTGTGGCGGCCTTCCAGCGGGATTCCTATTGTGGCGGCCTTACACACGGACTCCCCTTTGTGGGGCCTTAACAGAAGGAACCCGTGTGTGGCGGCCTTACAGACAAATATTTTGTGCGGCGGCGTTACATAGATATTCCTATTGTGACGGTCTTACATAAAGCTCCCGTTTTTTGACGTGCTTGTACACAACGATTCCTTTTGTGGCGACCTCGCACAATCATTCCTTTTGCGACGGCCTTACAAAATGATTCCTGCCTTGGCGGTCGTACGGAAATGAGTTCAGCTGTGGTGCCGCTACAAGAAGGGTTTCATGTCGTGCGGTCTTCAAAAATACTCGTATTGCCGCGGCATTATAACACAATGCTTTAGCTGGCCGCTAACAAAAAAAACGTGGCGGTCCAGCGCAAGAATTCGGAAACAAATTTCGGAACTGGGCTTTGAAAAGGGAGATGCCCGAATAGAAGCTTGGAGACAAAAAGGGCTACGTGGATCTTAATGGAAGAGCTGTTGTGGAAAACGGCCAAACAAAACGTTGAAACGGAATGGCGAAGCATCTAAAACGTTGGGGCAAACGAAAAGAAACGCCTCAATTTCAAGTGGAACCGCGCGCGGGCGCTGCAGCTAGGTTCTTCGGTTCTGCCCCCTATGGGAATACGACGCCTGTATGGCGCGCACCGAACTTAAGTGTGGAACCGCTTCCGGGCGCTGCAGCTGGGGCCTTCGGTTCTGCTCTGTATGGCTCCGCGAAGCGTGCGAAATGTGGGCCGAAATGGCGGGTGGAACCGCGCGCGGGCGCTGCAATTTGAGCCTTCGGTGGAGCCTCCTTTATTATGGTGCCACCAATCTTGTCAGGGCTGGCACCGCATGCGGGTGTTACCGCTGGGGCCTTCGTTTTTGCTTCCTATAGGGCCACGAATCGTGCGAGGGTGCGCCGAAGTGGGGTGTGGAATCGCATCGGGCGCTGCCACGGGGGCCTTCGGTCGAGCCGTTCATGGTGACACGAAACGTGTGAGGTGTTTTCGAAAGGGGGGTTGGAACCGCATGCGGGCGCTGCCTGTGAGGACTACGGTGGAGCTCGTTATGGGGCCACGAAGCGTGTGAGGTGCGCGCCGAAATGGGAGGGTGGGACCGCATGCGGGCGCTGTCACTGGGGCCTTCGATGGAGCTCCTTATGGGGCCACGAGACGTGTGAGGGCCGTGTCAGAATTTTGAAGGCGGAAGCAGCAGTGGGAGGGGGAGGAGGAGGAGGAGGAGGAGGAGGAGGAGGAGGAGGAGGACGACGACGAGGAGGAGGGTTATGAAGAGGAGGAGGAGGAGAAGGAGAAGGACGAGGAGGAGGAGGAGGAGCAGGAGGAGGAGGAGGAGGAGGAGGAGGAGGCAGAGGGGGAGGAGACATAGGAGGAGGAGGCAAAGGGGCAGGGGGAGGAGGAGAAGAAGGAGGAGGAGGACGACGACGCGGAGCACGGTTTCTTCAAAACGGGGGTCCCACACCACAGGGCGGTAGAGGCAGCGCAAAGGCGATCCGCACGCGCGCTCTAGTGAGCCGGGGTCTGGCAGGCATTAGTTGTCCGGTGGCGAGAGCGGTGAAACGAGGCGGGGCGCGGCTGCGGAGGGCGGAACAAGGAGGGCGGGCACTCACAGCACGGACAACTTCGACTGGAGTGGCGCACACACAATAGTAAACTACACGGAAGCGAAGCTCACGGAGGCCCGCCGCACTGGCAGCGCGAAGGCGGCCGGGAACGACCACCTCAAATTTGTTTCCCCCTCGGTCTGGGTCAGGGGCTGCGGCCCGCAGGCCGGAGGAAATCATCTCATTTGCCTTCGTCGGTCTGGGGCGCTGCTCGGGGAACCGATTTCGAATGGATGTTGGCTGGGCCCGAGGAAGCCGAACGAAGCCCCCCAAAACCGCGAGCGAGTCGGGAGGGGGAGCGGCTTCCCGAAAGGGAGGGGGGGGGGGGGGACGCGGCGGCGGGCAGTTCGTTAAGGCTTGGGCGCCCCAGGCGCGCCCCCCAAGGGGCGAGGAGCCGGGCGCTGCAGGGTCCCAAGAGGGGGAACTCGAGCTGGCATTTCGGGCCCTCCGCCCCAGGAGGACCCACCCTCTCCCCCGACCAGAATACCCAAACATCCTGTATGTGTATGTGTATACATATATGCACACCTATAAAGACAAAGACAGGGCGCCCCTGGAGCCCCCTCAGGGGTGAGGAACAGGGTGCAGCAGACGAGTGGCCACTGGGCCATCTGCGCAGAGGAGTAAGGGCCCCTGCCGCTCCCCCAGACGCCCGCCGGACGAGGCCGCCCCTTACTGGGCCGCCCCTGGCGCGAGGCCGACCTTCTCGTTGCATCTTCGGGGGGGCCTTGCCTGTCCCGTTGCGCCCCTGTCCGCGTCGAGTCCGTGTCGAAGATGACTGCTGGCCTCGTCAAACCCGCGTCGAAGCGGTCGAATCCATGCCGAGCCTCCTCCTCCTCCTCCTCCTCCTCCTCCATTCCTCCCCCCCCTCCTCCTCCTTCCTGCTCCTCCTCCTCTCTCCTCCTCCTCCTCCTCCTCCTCCTCCTCCTCCTCCCCTCCCCCTCCTCCTCCTCCTCCTCCTCCTCCTCCTCCTCCTCCTCCTCCTCCTCCATCGAGCCCGCGTCGGGCACAAGAAAAAACATCACTTTGGGGGACAGGCGAAGTCCCCCGAAGATGCAACGTTACCGACTCTCCCCTCCATGGCTGGAAGGACGAGACTACTGACAACAAGGTGAGCGCAACGACGATTGCCCTTCCCGCGCCAGACAACGCACGTGCGACCTGAAATGGGCCCGCGTCAGCCGAGACCATCAATCCGGACTTCCCCAGAGATCCCCAGAGGCTCCGAAAAGGCTCCGAGAGGCCCCTTGAGGCCTCCCCAAGGATGGCCAACCCGAGTGTATCTTGACCATGGTCGCCGACGTCGCTGTCGTCGTCGTCTTCCTCGTCCTCGGCAATCCTCGATCCCCCTCCATCGTCCTCCTACTCCTGCTCCTTGCTCTACAAGAGGGTTTGGCTGGTCGTTCCTGGTCACCTCCGACCCCCGTAAATATGGCGGCCGGGCGACCCCGGGCCTGTTCGTGCTGAACGTCAGGGTCACGTCAGTGAACGACCCTGGCGTCGGGGAGTCCTCGGACACAGCAGCGTGGACAAGGAGGATTACGAGGAGAGGGGGAACGACGACGACGACAACGACGACAACGACAACAACGACGACGTTGACGACGGCGGCGGCGGCGATCACGAGCATCACGAGACGGAGGACCGTGTGGGGGAGAAGGAGAAGGACACTTACGAGGAGGAGCGGCACTGAACAGCAAGTGAGAGGCAGACAAGGGAGGGAAGACAATCCGAGAAGAGAATACAAAGAAACACATGCAAGACATGCAAATAATACAAATCCGGGAAGTTCGTTGCCCTTCGAGAAACCCGTGCGCTTGGAAACGACTATGTGGGGGATGGGGAGGAAGGGGAGGAGGCGAGCGTAGAAGAGTCCCGAGATCCAGCCTCGCCTACTGGCTGGGAAATCCTAAGTGCCAACATTGGGTTTCGCGGAGGAGGGGGAGAAAGAGAACGAGGACTACGAGGAGGCGGGGAGCGAGGATCAAGCTGTTTCGGCACATGGGTCTCTGGAGGCCTCCAGAGGCCTCCAGGGACGACCCCCGTATGATTACGAAGAGGAGGAGCACGAGTAGGAGGAGCAGTATTACGCGGAGGAGGAGGAGGAGGAGGAGGAGGAGGAGGAGGAGGAGGATTGCGATGAGGAGGGTTATGAAGAGGAGGAGGAGGAGGCGGAGGAGGGTGACGACGACGACGACGACAAGGAGAAACGACCCCGGCGTTGGGGAGTCCTCGGAGTACGTGATCTTGCTGCTGGTGAAATATCTGGCGGAGGGGCAGGGAGGGGAGGAAGGATCTCCTCCTCCTGATCCGCATCCTAAGGCCCTCTGGTCCCTCCCTTCGGCGCGATGGCTGTGCGCGGCTCAGAACACGGCTCAGGATGCTCCTGTCCTGGGTGGACAGAAACCTGATCGGACAAGAGTGGGAAGCGTCGCTTTAGTCTAATGGGCGTCTTGGGCCAAGAAGACGAAAAGGAAGCGAGGGCGAAAAGGAGGCGATGACGAGGACGACGTGGAGAACGTGAGGATAGCGAGGAGAAGCATGAGGACAACGATGAGGAAGAGAAGCACATTGACGAGGACGAAGACAACGAGGGCGAGTACGAGGAGGAATGCGAAGGACGATGACGGTGACGACGACGACGACGACGGAGGATAGTGAGAGACAATTAGAGAAGGACGTTGAATCAGGAGAGGGTCCTGGTGACCCTATCGGGCTACCCTGGGGGCTCCTGGCGCAGTCTCCACCGTTTATGAGTTTGATCCGAAGACAGTCCTGCGCACCTGCCAGGCACCCCCTGGCCATTCCGGGACCAATGATACGTAGCCTGATGCGGCGAGCGCATACTACCTCTGACGCGTGTTCTACACTGGGTTCCTCGAGGGCGATTCCAGGATGCAGAACTGTATCCAACATGTGCACGGAACTTCGAAGGTATTTCCCACGCGCGACTGGATGAAATGCTGCCAAAGGCGCTTGATTATATGCACTGCGCATGAGGGATGAAGACGTTGTCAAAACCAGGGAAACCATCTCTGCATGCATGTCGTCATGACTCAACGGCAAAACTGCGATACAATCGCAATCACTTGTATCGAGCTTGCCGAACATTTCATTTGCGGCTCGTTTCCACGAAATGTCGCCAGTGGGGCCTTGCAAACAGACTGTATGACCAAATGTTGCCGTTCGAACACCTGTGCGAAAGACACCGTGGTAAACCACATAATGGTCAGATCGTCGAAAGAAGTTGTCCCTCGCGCACCTGGGCTCGAAAGTTTGACCCCGTTGAAGTGAAACGACTATCTTTTCATGAACGGAACCCAACATATTATTGAGCTCCTGCACTCGATGCGTCGACCTTGATACTGTCAATCGTACTCGGCCCGTGCCACACCACGAGAACTGCCATCAAAACAGAAACCAGGGACGGGATCAGATGTCTTTTGGTCCACATTGCAATCTGCGCACAACTTGCGCCAGAAAATCGCATCTAATTGAAGATATTAGAGAAGCCATGTCGATACCGTGGTATGCTTGCCATGGAAGGTAGACCTCCGGAAGCCCACCCAATGATGTCTGGAATCTCGACGCGGGTATCACCAAAATGCGAGTCACAAGCAAACGTGCCTGCAAACTCGGGCCATGAGCGTTCAACTGAGTGTGCCCGGCCAACCTGCAGCCGGATTGTATGGATCAGCCTATGCACGACCCAACCATCCGGGGCCTTTCAAATAAGTTGACGCAACACATATGAAGGGCTGCAACAAAGTGGTCTGAACCAAAACCTGAGCCAACATTGATTAAGTCAGAATGGCTCGAGCCAAAATGGCTCGAGCCAAAATGGCTACGGAGGCCTATTAGGGGCTTCTTGGGGGCTTCTTGGGTCCTCTTGTGGACTTCGGGGGTCTTCTTGGGCTGTCTGGGCGCGTCGGGGGGGTTATTTGGGAGCTTTCTTGGGCCGTCTCGGCTCCGTCTTGGGCCGCCTTGGGGCTCTCCTGGGCCGCTTGGGGGCCTCCAGGGGCGGTCCTGGGAGCCTCTTGGGGCCCTCCTGGCCCGTCCTGGGCCGTCCTGGGGTTCCTGTGGGCTGCCTGGGTGCCTCCCGGAGCGCTCTTGGGGGGCCTCTCGGGGTCCGCTGGGGGCGGCCCTTCCTCGAAGCTGTCAGGGGCTCCCCGTGCCGCCGTCTTGGGGTCCTGTAGGATCCCTTGTGTGGCCTTCCCTCCCTCCCTCCCTCCTCCTCCTCCTCCTCCTCGTCCTCCTCCTCCTCCTCCTCCTCCTGCGCCTCCTCCTCCGTTCGCCCTCTCTGGGCCTCCGCGGGGCCGATGCGTAGCCCACTCGGGACACGTCGGGGCGCTCTTGGGCATCGTGGGGCCGTCTGGGGCCACCTTGGGGCCCTCTTTGGCAGCCTTGGGGTGCTCCTGAAGCCCTCCTGGGGCCATCCTGGGCCAGGTTTCGGGGTTCCTGGGGTCCTCTCAGCGCTGGTAGGTGGGCTCTCTTTGGTTCCCCCGGGGCGGTCGTGGAACCATATTGGACGGAACAGTGCGGCACGCCAAACGTATTCAAAAACTGACACGAGCGCATTGCTTTCGAACGAGTGTGGCCGTCTGTGGGGTCCTCCTCTCGAGGCGGCGTGCGACTGGTTGGGCCAGTGCTGTGGGCCATGCTGTAGCCTCTCGGCCGAGCTTGGGCTCTCGTCGAGGCCTCCCTGAACTCTCCGGAAGCAGGGGCGCAAGCATCCAGAAGACCGTCACGTGTCTGGAGCAGGTGAAGTGTTCTCACAGGGTTTCCTTAACAGTGCGATCAGGCTTATATGCTTGGCGGCGCGCATAAAGGGGGTAGGGGGAAGGGGGAAAGCTTACTAGGCAGAAGGAGGCTGCTTGTTAGAAGGCGCCAGCCTTCTATATATATATATATATATATATATATATATGAAACGCCCAGTCCATTTTCCGCCAGGAGTGCGAAGCGATGCTATCTCTGGTGTCGACAAGTCTTCCGACTTTGCAATCACAGATCATACAGACTCGAGCTCGAGGCAACGCTTAACATCAAGCTAAGCGGGCACCTGATCACCTTGTTCGTTCTGCAATTTTAAAAGGAGAGGGCGGCGGTGGGGCAGACGGTTGGCCAGGAAAAAACTACAGATCGGTGTTGACGGCGTGTTTCGGTCTTCAGCATATCATTAATCAGCAAGCTTATACACATGAAACGCCCAGTCCATTTTCCGCCAGGAGTGCGAAGCGATGCTATCTCTGGTGTCGACAAGTCTTCCGACTTTGCAATCACAGATCATACAGACTCGAGCTCGAGGCAACGCTTAACTTCAAGCTAAGCGGGCACCAACTCTTTTTGCATAGAACGACTTCTCTCCAAAAACGCCACTGGCTTCAGCCGCGCCAAATTCTCTGTACTCGCTGAACTTTCTTTTCTGCAAGCGCTAGCTGGAAGCAGCGGACGATGTTAGTGCACGAATCAGCTGGGTAGGCTTCGGCCAGGAGCGTGCGAAAAACGCCGTCTGCATTTTTTCCCTGCAATTGATCATGCGGGCGGCCCGTGCGGGAGCAGATCCCGCGGGGGCCTCGACAGAGGCGATGCAAAGGCTGGAGGTCAACATGATCGTATATGATGCAAAATCTAACACGACAGAGCGGCATTTTCTTGGCAATCTCATGAATTGAGGCGTCAGCCAAATTCTAGACAGGTTAGGATTCTCGATTGCTACCGGCACACGCACGGCTTGGCACAAAGTAAAAAGCGAGGCTGGAAACTTCATGAGGGCGTTGCCGATCCTAACTTTCTCAGCGTCTCGGGGCGCCAGGTCGGGCAACCCCATCACGTGCAGGTCACTTCGCAAGGGCGGGGGCCCTGGTCGAATGTCCCGCGCTCGGCTCCAGCTGTGACAAGGGGTGCCCAGCCAGACGGCAGCTATCAACCCGTTGTTGACCCAACCTCGCACCAGGCGCTGCACCCGCTGGCGAGTGAGGTCATACTCATCTCCCCAGCGGATGTCCCACTCGAAAATGGCATAGCCCAAAACGCGCTGCCGCCGTCGCCAGGCCCGGCTGAAGTTGCCGGAGCCGCTGAACACCTCGAGCGCCACGGCTCCGCCCGTACGGGCGGCAAAGGCCGGCAGCGCTCGCAGAGGATGTCGCCAATCTTCTTGGCGCAGGCGATGGCGTGGTCGAGGAACGGCTGTGGCAACTTGGCCAGCTGGTCGGCGACGCGGCCTCCCTTGCCGTACCTCGTCACCGAGCTGTCGCTTGCCCAGCGGCCGCGGGCCTTCACCTCCGCGATGCTGCGACGGCCGCTGGCCAGGTCGGAGGACGCCCCGCCGTGCCGCAGCTGGTACAGGCCCGGTGGGCCCTCGAGGCCCAGCTGCTGGCCCGCCGCGCGGAACGCCTGCGCCAGCTGCACGTGCCGCACCTGGGCCACGAGGTCCCTGTCGTCGACGCCGGCCTTGAGCAGCTTCAGCACGTCTCCGATGAAGCGGTAGAACGGCAGGTCGCCCAGCACGCTCTCGTTGAAGGCGCCGGTCTTGCTGGGCGTCTCCCCCTCCGTTGGAAACAGCACGAGCGACCGCGCGTCGTGACCGGCCGCCCGCACCGGCGGCGCCACCTGCCGCCCGGTCAGCGACATCAGCTCCACGGGCCGCAGGTAGAACACGAACATCACGATGACGAGGCGGGCGGCGTGCAGGTCCTGGTTCGCCGCGAGCTTGTTTGCCGCTGCGCAGGCGACCTCCCGCGGCAGCGGCAGCCGGCTCCGCGGCGGCACCAGCCGCCTCCACCCCTTCAGCGCTCGGCTGAACCGGGGCAGTCCAGCGACGGACAGGAGCCGCGGGTAGTAGTACAGCAGCACCGCCTTGAGCCTTGTCCCCTCCTGCGCGTCGCCGCCGTCGAAGAACGCGCGGCGGGCCCACTCCACAGCTGCCTCGTCGTAGTCCTGAGCGGTCTTGAGGCGCAGGCCCAGGGTCTTGGAGAAAACCCTGAACTCCACGAGCGCCGACTGGTAGACCCGCTGGTTGTGGTCGCCCACGCTCTCCCTCTCGAGCAGCGAGAGGCCCTCGCTGTCTGTCACGCGCTTGTCCTCGGGGAACTTCGCCTGCCGGGCAGCGGCGCGCTCCCCCCTCGTGGCCAGCACCTCGGGCCGAGGCTTGGCTTGTCTCGCCGATGCCTTTGCCCGGGCCCGCCCATGGGGTGGCCGCGGCCGCGGGCCAGCCTGCGACAGCGCCGCCGCTCGCGACAGGGTTGGCGGCTCGCCCTGCACGG